GTATTAATAATTATAACAAACTAGTGGAGTAATTTCACAAAAAATAATTGAATATCAATTCAATAAAAATTTAATTAATACAGTGAATAGCGACATCTCTCGCCAGGACTGGTAGCTGTAAAGGTACTAACTGGGTGATAAATCTGTCATAGATTTCTCATAGATGGCGCTACGACTAAAAAGTCGTTGAAAGACCAAGTACAAAGACGCGACGCAAGCACATAGAAAAATTCGTGAGGTCCGTTGGTTCGTTCCGTGGCTTAGTTGGTATAGCGTCTGGCACGGTATGCAAGAAGACGTCGTTTTGAATACGACCGGATCGTAGGAATTTTTTCTGAGTGTTCGATCTTTGTATTAATAATTATATCCTAAGAAATTAAAAAAACTCAACACAACAACATTCTGAAGTCAGGATGGCTGGTCGCCAATTTGTTCAGCATGAAGGGAGCAGATTTTCCAGCAGTATGTATTACGAATAATTGCCACTATCACGAATTAAAGGTATACGCTTCTTATCTACATCAGTTTAAAAAATATAATGTCATTTGTGCAACGGTGTCCCTTATTCCAGCGTGACCATAGTCGTTTTTTTTAAATTGATTAGATTAGATTGTCTGATAAAAAGTCGTCATTTAGTAGTCAGTTGTAATCACAAAAAAGTAGATTTAGTCGGTCCGCTGTTTCATTCATAAGGTTATTTACTATCCACGCTGGAATAAGCTTATTTTTGGAGTCTAATTTAACCGTAACACCAATGTGTAGCTGAAACTTACTTCCGCTATCAATTATAATACTCATCGTCATACAATTAAGTCATTAATTCATTATTTAATTATTTTGATCGTCGTACGCGACTATACTCCACGCGCCTCATTCGTCTCGTGTAAGCCAGAAGCCCAACACGACATAACAAATATCATGACCATCGATAAATCCTAATGCCATTAAGGAAAAGCAACTATATTTTTTGCCAATTTGTTTGTATTAAAAACTAAACATTAAAACCTTCAAATACCATGTATTGACAAAAAAACAAATGCTGTATATTATGCATAATTTGTACGCTAATGAGCTCCGAGACTAATACAGGTACATATAACCTTGAAATAACAAATCGGTTGTATCTTCTGAACAAAGGAGCGACTGATTCTAAAATTACGCGATGAAAACCGACTATACCTATAATTCACGGCTTTTTCTGGATGCAATCAGATCTAAGCCACGAGCTGTAGTTCTCGAGATTCAAAAATGATGCCGCCGGAATAAGTTAATTCCAGTGTGGACAGTAAAACAACTTAATCACTTCAAAGCGGGGTAACGACTAAATAGTTTTTTACGACCAGAAACGACTAAATCACGACTTATTAGTGTAATCGATATTTATATCGAACCATAAGCTAGGTATTGTGGGTCTCGAGATTGAGAAATGGTATGAAAACACCTTTATACCTTTTGAACAGCGCGGACCGACTAAATCTGAAGACGGATTGAGTTGGTATAGTTTATGGTTAGTATTAACCCGTCAAGTGCACGCGAGTAGAGATTGGCGTGTTGCATGGGATTTATGCGTGAATTTTAAACTCGCGAGACGCTTATTCTAATCAGAACCAACTAAATCACGACTTTTTAGTGCAATCAGATCTAAGCTAGGCGCTGTTGTTCTAAATATTGTAAGACACCCTTGCCGAGAGAACCGACTAAATGGAGATCTAACTAATCCAATTTTAAAAATTCGACCATGGTCACGCTGGCATAACGACACGCAAGACACGCACACTTTCCTGTATTTCGAGAAAAAAATCCGATCGGTATTCCTCAAACTGATTCAATGTTTTGCGTCGATTAAAGGAATCTCAACCAACTAATCGTGCTTTTTATGCAAATACTCCCTCGATGAGTGTTTCAGCGTTTATCATTTGTAAGCGGCGGACCAACTATAATAAGGCTAGTTTTATTGCAGTTAGAACGATAAATTGTTAAATCCTTGACATTGTTCTCCTTTGAATAAAGCGAACTCCCAGGCGCTGTAGAGCGAGTTTGCCGAAATATTCAATATCTACTCCGTAACACTTTATCACTTAGGTATTTTGTACCTTACGTGGTATAAGGCACAATAATAACAAATTGGGTATATTACATAGTATAAAATAAGTAATGTGGACAAAAAGGTTAATGACGTTGAATGTAGTTTCTGTCTTTAGGTTCGCACACTGCACCAGACCGGTAAACGGAGTGCACACCAAGTGTACCTAAAAGTAAAAGATTGATAGAAATTGTTTCAGTGCCTAGTAACGACAACGAAGAGCTAATTCAAAATAAATTATACGACATTCTTGACAAGTCGACACACGTACACGCACATCACGTACAAATTATGAAGTCGATACTGCGGATGCACATCAGAAATAGTAATAAAAAAATTGTTGGTTTACAAGTAGGAGTATAGTTACAGAAACTGTTTGAAATAGCAGCGAGATAATTAAAAGGTCCGAATTGTTTTCATAGCTCCAACAAACACAATTTATTTATTCTGCGATAAGCACTTACGATGACAACTCTCGACGTGATATTCTGCGTAAGCCAGTATCGTTCCAGTCTTGTCCCTCGATTCAATGTTTTTTTTTTATTTTTATGACTGACTACAGGGATACGTTTACCGAACACAACTTTACATTGGAATTTTGCGCAGACTTTAGCGTCAAATACACGAACAAAGTTAAATCTACTTTAATTTACACTCCACATTGAAAATATTCGTAAACATCAACGTCGCTCTCTTGTAACATGCGACAACGTCGAAACTAGGAACTGGTCTAGTCCGGGAGCCTAAATTAGATTATTTTTATTTAACACTACAAACATCTTACGTTGTCGGGGACATGACTGAAATACTTCGTTCGCATATACCGTCATAAAAATTCGTACATAATCTAGTTTCGACGCTCGGTAAGACTGCGCTGATGCGAGGCGAGGAACGCGGCCGCGCGCGACTAGCGCCGGTCGGCGTCGCAGGAGACGTTCTCGGAGGACAGCGAGAGGTCGTGCAAGAGGTACATGAGGGCGCGCGCCGGCCGCCCCGTCATGCGAAGCGGGTCCAGGTAGGGCGGCGCGATGGAGTGCGCCAGCTTGGCCACGCCCGTGATGTCCAAGTGCAGCCAGTCGCAGCACACGAAGTTCTGGGACACAAGCACCGCCGTTCGCACAGAACCGACAATCAAGATAAGATAAGATAAATTTATTTCAATATGACTTAATCTAATACAATTATAATGAAAACAATGTAATTGAAGATAAAATATTAAAATAAACAGTAATAAACAAAACAAAAGAAAAAAAAATCTAAATTATATAAAATAATCATGGTAAAATTAAACATTTTAATCTTAGTGCCTAATAGTGCAATTGCGATGCCTAAACTAAGTACATGTGTACCTGTATTTTAGGCATAATAGTGCATTTTTCATAACAAAGCTTAAAAAAAAAATATATTTTATAAATTTAACAAATAAAAGATAAGTAGTTATAAGTCGTTACAATTTATAAAAGATAAGTAGTTAAACATTACTTATTATATAAATATAAATTATGAAATAACTTCCAACAAGTCCTCGGTATCATTGTAGGTTTTACTCTTAAGCCAAAATTTGACGGTCTTTTTACATTCAGTTCAATCGAGGGCGCCGCGAAAGGCGGCAGCTCACTTACGCTGAGGAACGCCGCGCCGAGACAGGGGGTGGATCGTCCGGAGCCCTGGTTTCTGAGATCAACGGCCGCCTCGTCTGGAACAACACAACGGGCGCGTGAGCCAGCGCGCGGCCCCTCGGGGGACCCTCGTCCGGCGGAGCGCACGTACTGGTGACTTGCGTCAGGTAGTACTTCCAGAGCGGGAAGCGCCAGGGCCGGTCGCCGCTGTCGGCGCCCGCGTGGCGCAGCGCGCCCCACGCCTCCTCCGACGTGGCGAAGGCGCCGAACGCGCCGCCGCCCGTGGCCAGCAGCACGCCGTCTGCAACACGAGGGCAGTGGGCGCGGCCGCCGGGGGCGGGCCGCTCGGCGGGGCGGGGCTTACGCGTCAGGGTGGCCACGTCGATCACCAGCGACGGCTTGTACACCGCCTGCCCGTACACCAGCGCGTCGGCCAGCATCAGCCGCCCCTCCATGTCCGTGTTCTCGATCTGCGCGCATCAACTTAGGTCGACTTTGGTGGCCGGCGAAAATTACGGGTTCGGTGAAAAACACCCGAAAATTTCGCCGAAGCCCGACGTGCGAACTGATTTCCGGGTCGGAAACTGGTGAATTTCAGTGATCTCACCGTTACGTGCAGGCCGTTGAGTGTTTTTACCACGTCGCCCACTTTCATACACTGTCCGCTTATCATGTTTTCGCAAATTGGTATAACGGCGGTCACCTTTATCGGCATCTGTGAACGACGTGCGCGGTCGTGGAGTAAAACCGAAAGCAATTCCAAATTTGTGAAGTTTAATTCAAATATTACCTTTATTTCGGCAATGTAACGCAAGGTGGCGAGGACGCAGGCGGCTCCGGCCATGCTGCCTCTGTTTTCCACCATGTTGGCAGGCCGCTTGAGGCACAATCCGCCGCTGCAACAACGCGACGCGTTACCTACTTCGCCGAACGAGGCTGACAGATCGAGGCAACCAGTAAAGAAACACTTGCCTGTCGAAGGTGACGCCTTTGGCGGCGAGGAGCACGGGCGGCCTGTTCTTGCTGTCGGGCCCCTCCCAGGTGGCCTCGAGAAAGTAGGGGTCCTCGCACGAGCCGCGAGCCACGGCCAGGAATGCCTCCATGCGCTGGGTGCGAATCCAGTCGACGTCGTGTGCGGATATTTTCACGCCCAAAGGACAGAGCACGTCCAAGGCCGCCTGGGAACAACTCAGTCACATGTGTATAAACTGCCGACGCCATCGGTGAAAAACTGTCTCCGTGAGAAGTGTACCTGCGCCAACTGTACGGGCGTCATGTGGTTGGCGGGCATGTCGGACAGGTAGCGCGCCCAGTTTTGCGCTCGGCCGCGCAGCTCCCCGAGATGGAACTTGTCTGCGTCCTTTCCCGACCCTGCTAGTTTCACTTTCATTTCCGGCTCGCGATTTTCGCACGACTTGAACTCCTGGAACCTGGATACGCACGATAAATAGAATTAAAAATTTAATTGCTTACGAACCTTTTTGACCGAACGTTCGTATTTAGTGATTACCGCTTACGCGGTACCTACGTCTCGGACGGCTGTATAAAAAGTCCTGATGGTTTGTTGGTAACTACGGTGCTCCATCCACAAACGATGGTAATCGTCAAAAAGTCGGACTGTCGAGTATCGGTGGGGAACTGGCTACCTCCAGGATGCGAGCATGGCTGCCTCCGCGGCGGCGTCCTCCTGACCGTATCCGGGATCGACGGAGACCATCTGCGCGCCTCGCCGCAGCAGCTCGCGCACGCCCGCGCCCACTCCCACGCGCACGTTCTCCTGCAACCACACGGACTCTTCATCGCCCGCTCTTCATCGGCCGCTGTAGCCAAGTAGCCAAAAGGATCTCAAAAAAGTCGCAGGGTTCTGCAATTAATCCCGTCTGCACAGCCCACTACACCACATTTAAGTCTTCGACAAAATTCGCGCAATTTAATTTAGGTTTCTGAGGTATTCTCGTAAAAAAACTGGGATCGAAACTTCCCTGACCTTGGCTTCGTTGATGTTTTCGAGATGGTTGTATCCGACGTCGCGCTTGCCGAAGGACGCGATGGTGACGGGGGGCAGGTCTGGCGCCAGGTCCGTCAGTACAAACGCGACTCCGGGCTTCAGCTCGCACGACATTCTACAACACGATTGCATACTCGATCTAAGGAGTGATACTCCAGGAGATGTGCTTATAATAATCTCGAAGTTTATGTACTAATTGTGGGTAGGCCCCAGGCCCAGATTGAATCAATTTAGAAAACCAACCTTTCTAAATTGTGCTCTGGGTGTGTTGTGTTGCGTAGTGAGGAAATGGCTTACTCGCTGACGTGTCGACATAGTTTCCCAGCGGACTTCTGGTCGATTTGGCGTCCCTCCTCCGTTAATTCAAAAGTCGAACCGTCCTTCGACTCGTACACACCGAGAACGAGGCCGTCCTAAACACAACCGCAGGCTGTTCAATATTGTTTTAAAGTATGAACTACTATACTTTACCTGCCTCCATGGCCGAATGGTTAGCATGCTGGTCTGCTACGCAGCGGTCCCGGGTTCGATTACCGGGCCGAGAGAAATATTTGTATGGCCTACATTTATTTCTCTCGTGGGTTTAGGTATAATTTGTGGTTTTCTATTTGTGTGTCCATGGTACTCCCGATACAGGGTCTCCCTAGTGCGGGGCTGTGTGCTACTACGAGTATGTGCTTTATTACTATTATTATTATACTTTGGCTTCAGGTTAGGTTACATGTTATAATCTATATTATCTATTGGTAGTAAGTTGATAATGGAAGCCTACATTTTCATTAAGTTACATGCTGTTCAACTCCTGAGTAACTACTTGTAATTCCTTAAAATTTCAGTCAATGAAACAATATAATTTGACTTGCACCAGTAAACATTACCAATCTTTTGCCAAACCTTACATAACGGGCTGTCATAATACACCAGAAAAGTATAAGCATGAGTATACCGGTTCACCGCTGTCCTTCCCGGGGCAAACGCACGTCTCGCTGAAACCACTGCTGCTGCACTGTCTCGCGAAAACACTTTTACTTAAATTTATTGTGCTCTGCGCCAATCTCACACTATAAAGCAATTTTGAAAACCCCATAGTCAGTAAAAAAATAAATCAAGGTAAATACATTTCCAGAAAATAAAAAAAAATATGAAGTACACTAAAATAAAACCACCTAGATTTAATAAAAATTTTGACAAAGTAATATATCATTCAAAAGTGGAATAGTGATTAATGAAAAGGCTTACCGGGTTATCATGTAAACTTTTTAGTGTACTTGTTTATTATTTAACTGTAATAATTGCCCACTCTCAGGTCAAAACATTCCCAAGAAAAATTACCTAATCACACCCCTTATGGAAGAATGGCATAAGTTGAGTTACACAAACATACAGAAAAATATAACTCACATCCTCTCCAATTCTTGTACCTCTATCTACAATAGCAGTCGATAGAATTAAAGAATTGGAGAGGATGTGTTATATTTTTCTGTATCTAATGGAGCAATAAAGGTTTTTGACGTAACTCCACTTATTGGCATTCTTCCATGAGGGGTGCGAAATGACATCTGTGCATACTTGAAGTATTCAACTTGCTCACTTTACCTCAAATCAAACTTAATTGTATGCATCAACTTACATCTTATTTAACCACACAAAAATAAAAATTTTCATTTCTATTTATTACCAATATTTATTTTGAAAGAACTAGTTTTTGGTACATGCCTTATTGTAAATGATACCCTAGTGCCTCTCCTAACTGTAAATCCTTTCACATACTTATTTGAGCACGAATTTAAATTTACTATAGAATCATCCAGAATGTCTTCAGCGAGTTCTTCAATACAGTGCAAGTAATGTGTATATAGGGAATCTTGGAGTAACAGTAAACTACGAGGCTCTAGCAACAAGGAGCCTGGGGAGTCCCTTCTTCCTCCTGTGTTGTCTTCACCACCACCTGCTGGCTCCATGAATTTAAGCACCGTGTGCGAACCAGCAGATACAGTAGCTATGGTAGGGTAAAATAGATCGCCATCAACATGCGGCATGATGCCTTGCCCGCAACAATATTCATTGACTAGCACGTGGTTAGGCATTCGGCCACCCATCATCCGTAGCGCGTGGACGCGTCCGGTGAGCCCATCCAGCCACGCGGGCAGGCTCTCGGCAATCATGCCGCGCTGGTGCGGGATGCCGCCCCAGTTCTGCAAACGCCGGTGTGACAGCTGGGTCCACTTGGGCTTCGGCGCTGCGTAAACGTTTGCCAACAACGCTTCTTCGTCGCTTTTCGATATAAACTCAGGCAAGTAGTACGCAGTGGGCTTTAACTGCAGATAAAAACTATAATAAACAACTTGAGATAGTTTTATACTTTTCAAACTTATACGGCGCGTTAAGTAACTTACATTTTGCACTTCGAACCTCTTCAGATCAATGCTGGCCATACTTCTTTTAAAAAAAATTTATAGTTTTGCCATCATGTTTTATGAATGCACTTCCTATTTTCATACATAACTAAAAGCAACAGATAAACAACTTTACTGTTTGAAGTTTACATTGTCATCACTAATTTGAAAGACAGACTTAAAATAGGAATTGTCATCCGCTACGTACCACTTGTCATTGTCAAATATGTCAAAACTGTTACTGACATAGACAAAACTAGTGTCTTTTATTTAATGACTACAGAATTCATCGAAATTGAATTAATATTTAATGCTCTCTTACTGGTTACTTTCGGAGAGTGAGGATCGTATTCCAGAACTCTACTCAATGCCATGTCATCAAGATTTGAGCAGACTTGAGTATGATTTCAAGCACTGGAAATACGACCATAATGGCAAGGACTTGAGTATGATTTCTAGTGCTTTGAATCATACTCAAGTCCTGACTTGAGCATTGAGTAGAGTTCTAGAATACGACCCTTAGACTGATAGAATACCTGTATAATTAGAATTCATCGTTTACTATATTACAGTAAACGATGACCCTTTATGTGACCCAGAAACTGAATATTATCAGTAAAATCAATTTCTTAATTTCAAGGAATACCGGTTATAAAAATAAAAAGCGGCGACGTCGGTCGTGCTATGCATTCATCGATATATTTTACAAACGGTTATTAGTCTTTCTTGATCACATGACATGCTCAATTATTTTGAGTAAATCTTTAAGGGCTATCCCCACACATCAGGGCCGTGTCCGGGGCGTGCTAGTTTGTGTGAACTGCGGGGCCGTCCCAGACACGGACATGTGTGAACGAGTTCATACAAAATATATTTTATATGAACATCGTTGCGTATACGCAACGGTATTTTTTTGAGCCCCTGACGAAGCACAGCCCATTCACGTCCCGGATATTATGTGTGGATAGACCTTTATTATCCTCGGATGACTATAAATAAGAAAGCTCAGGCTCATCTTCCTAAGCTCCTATGCCTTAAAAAAATAATTTTCTCTGTGGTATACTAGGATTTTCTTGGAGTTTTCACTGAAGATATTTTGTTCGCGTTACGGCGTTAGTGAATATAACTACACGTTAGCTTGGGGAATTGTAGCAAACTGTGTAAAAATGCTGACACGCCAACTACCCAGACTAGTTCAACAAACAGGTATTTTAACAACCCTTATATTTGTTTTTGTTACCACTAGTACTAGATCGTCATTTACTTCAACAAATTAAAAAGCACTGCAAGAGTTATTTGTATAATTTTTGGGAATATACGATTAGATATTAAAGCAATAACTTAAGCTTTTTACGAAGTCTATGAAAAATGTTATGTAACAAATGCTAAAAGTAACCTATAAATTCTTGCTTATCAGGGGAATAAATATGTATTCCGTCATTAAACAGATTGACCTCATTGTAAAAGCAATGTACTGGAAAAAAAACTCAAATCCTTTCGGATGTATCCCTTTTTATGAGCGACTCCCAAGTAATACACGGAGTGGATAATTCCCCATTTCAAATCCCGGAATGATAAAATTATAGAATAAAATTTAGTTACACATTTACTTCCAGTTATAAAGCCTTTTTTACCATTAAAATTAATTAACAAGATACAATAATTTCAGAGGCAGGTATTGTCCATTCTTTCTATATTAATTTCTTGGAAGTTTAGGTAAAAACCAACTCTGCTTTTTCCCATCTCTGGTGACCACAATAGATCAATTGCTGACCTAAAATAAGCCACCTTAATGATAATAGAGTGCGTAACTGCTCTTCTCCAATTGTGTGTAATTTGTAATGTTCATGCAGTGCGCCGCTATGGCCACGACTCGCACTTCAAGCCGGCGACGATGGATGAACTGCCAGTACCCCGCGGCTCATGGCAGGCGCACTACGACGCCAACCAACGCCGATTCAACACTGCACTCATCGTGGGCATTGCTTTCACTGTTGGCACTTTCATTGTGGTAATTCAATTCAGTATTAATACTCTGGTGGATACAAAATAAGATAACCTAACCTTCGGTTAAAAAAACCGACATCAAAAGTCATTCATCTCCTAGTTTACCACCCTTAGAGGTGGAATATTTTCTTCAAATGTTTAAATGGGACCACTTCTGAGGAATCCTCTTTCCAACAAAAAATTATCATCAATATCGGTTCTCAAATGGCGGAGTTATCACATAACATACATACAAAAAAAACAGACTAATTGAGAACCTCCTCCTTTTTTTAAAGTCGGTTAAAAATAAATACACATTAATTTTCCAATATTAGAAAAAAGGGTTAATATATTATAGCAAATATAATTAATAAGTCTACCATTGTAATATATTGTGCAAACTGTAAGGAACTACAAGTGGTGACAAAACTGATCTGTAGTTAAGAAGTAACTTTGTTTTTTGTAGTTGCTTTATGTTTATTTGATACAAATATTGAACCTATTTATTTGTTTCAGGCCAAGACCAGTGGACTGGTATACCTCAACTACTCTCCACCCAAGAGCATTGACTAAATATTTATTTAACACAAGAATATAGTTAATCAAATCAAACCATAGTTCTTTAATTAAAAAAGCTTACATCTTTAAATACTTCTTTTATTTATTTACATATACATTATAGGTACATTGACCTACCAATAAATGGTTATCGGGTCTAATACAAAAACCACGAAAAAAATGTCCGAAGTTAACCTATACAAACGTAGTGACGTGTAATGAAATACAAAAAACTAAAACATTTAATGCTAATTAATTTTTTTAATTTAAATTTTATTTAATTTTGCTTGCAACAATTTAAGGGGCCAAAAACACCATATTCAGCTTCTACTGGAAACTTAACAAAATGTACCATATTTAGCTTCAACTGAAAATTACTTGAACACAAGAGTAATGGAGTAGCCTTTCTCGTAAATATTAATTAATTTTTATATATATTATTATGTCGAAATTTGTACAAATTCACCTAAGGATTATAATAAAGAGTTGGGCAGATACATACAAATATTACAAGCTTGTACTATAAGAAATGTACCGATATTCCAACAGCGTAAACTCAAATATCCGTAATTCCGAAAACTGATTTATAATAAAACCGTTACGCTTTCGAGTAATTTTGATGCTTTTCACAAAGCCAAAATTAGCTTTTGTTTTGTAATCTTCCTAAAAAAATACATTTGACATTATGAAAATTCGAACTAATGTTATTTCGGGCAAATGTATTTTCTGACTTCTGATAGGTAATCCCAAGCCGTAAAACGAGTACAACAATATTTTGTTAGTTATTGCCTTAGAGGATGGAAGGTTATTGCTAACGTTCAATAAAAAAATCATTTAAAAAATAATACTAAAATCAAAGCGACTCTATAGTTTCTTTATTCTAAATATTTCAATAGCTTGTGGTTCGAACAATTGACAATGACCAAGGAGTTTATATAAGCTTCTTGAAACCGACGTAATGGGTCTCTTTTCATCTTTTGCGCATGCTTTTGTTAGCTATTTGATTATTTTGTGTGCTTTTGTCATTTATATTTACGATTTATATAAATATAAATTAAATACTATAAAACTGTACAAAATAACACTTTTAAATGAGAACTATGATAACATATTTGTTTAGTGAAAATATGATACGAAATCCTGTTTTTACTTTAATGCGGTAATTTTTACAAGTTATTATTATTGGTAACTGCATGATTGACAACCGCGCTGTCAGTCGAACAAACGAAGACTGTTGCCCGATTGAGGCTCTGTATGCGATTTTAACGCCCTACAGGTGCGGACACTTTAGCGCGAACCCAACGTCCATTTATTGATAGGTCAATGTTGATACATAAGACTATTAGGCTCCATGCATCGCAAACGTGTGTTTAGTGTTGGATACAAGCAAATGGCAACTAAACGCGCATATTCTATTTTCATACAAATTGGGGTTGCGGCAACCGGCGACTGTGTCGATTTCAAATTAATTGTATGAAAATAGAATAATCGCTTCTGGTTGCCGGTTGCTTGTATCCACCACAACACGCACGCTAGCGCGACGCCTTAAGTTTACAGTTTAGAAATAATATGTAAGACTGAAAAAAACAAGATTTTAGTTCAGTTTATTGCAATAGAAGTAGTTACATTGTGCTACGTCGAAGGTACAGCAGTGTTCTAGTGCTCGCGTGCGATGTCTGAGAAGGCGTCGAGGATGTCCTGTGTGGTCAACGGCATGGCCAGACCCGCTCCCGGATAACACGCCGCAATGCGCGCCTGCGTACAAACACGGCACTTAATCACACCTGTGAAGTTGCCTTTTCATCTGCTAGAGTAACGGGTAGAAAAAATTAAAAGGTACCTATTAATTGTTTGTGTGCCTTCTTCCAGCGTGACCATAGCTAGCCAGATAAAAAGTCGCTGTTTAGTCGGTTCTAGTCGCAAAAAACTAGATTTAGTCCGTCCGCCGTTCAAAAGTTATAAGGGTGTTTTACTGTCCACCCTGGAATGAACTTATTCCACGACGTTTCTCAACGTCGAGAACCATAACATCTAGCTTAAATCGATTACAGTAAAAAAAGTGTGATTTAGTCGGTTCTAGTCGTAAAAAACTAGATTTAGTCGCTGCGCCGCCGTTTTGAAGTTGTTAAAGTGTTTTACTGTCACACTAGAATAAGCTTATTCTGGCGGCACCATTTTTTAATCTCAAGATCCTTGGTTCTAGTCACCATGTTTTAGAATTAGTCGCTCCTTTGTTTAGAAGATATTGGTACAAAGTAAAAATTTTAAATTTCAAACTTCTTTCCAAATTTTGATTCAATAAATAAAAAATTGTGAAAGTTACTTTTATAACTAACTATATTATCTGTACGGGACACGTACAGTATTCGGGGCATGTACAGTATACGGGTCACGTACAGGATACGGGCCACGTAGTACAGTACTTTTAAACTGATCTTGCGCTTACTATTTAAAGCAGATCGAATTAGTTTTGAGGTAATAATAAATAATAACGCACACACTTAACACAGCCCCGCACTAGGGAAACCCTGAGTCGCGGGCGCCATGGACACACACAGACAGCCACAAATTACACCCAAAGTCACGAGAGAAACAAATGAAGACCATAGAAATATTTCTCCTGGCCCGGGAACCAAACCTGGGACCCCTGCGTGGCAGTCCGGCTGGGAACCGTTCGGCCGCGGAGGCAGTTAGATAAATTAGGTAGTTCACAAATCGCGTTACTAGCGGCAGGCCACGGGTGAACATCCAACTCCATAAACAATTAATTAGACTACCTTTACTTGAAACCTGTGGTTTACGTCAACTCACCCAACCTAACTTACAACCGAGAGACCTAAGGCCATACATTTCCGATAAAAACACCAGCCAAGATGAGCGTTGTATTCTTTTAGTAAAAAAAATTAAACTGGACAGAACACCATTCGAAAGGATTATGACCAATGCAATATGGAGGCATGCCCCAACCTTAAACTGGCATGTCCATAAGCTACACATGGCGCATTTTAAAGCATGTAAGATCTGGGTTCTGAATCTATTCCTGGATTTTCAATTAAAGCAGTGGATTTTTATATATTTAGTAATAAAAAAACTACTTTTCTTAGCCTACTGTCTAATAAATCGAACTTATAGAATTACATCCAAGTATAAGTATATTGGGAAAAAAATAGTTGTGATCTTCCCAAAAATGTTTTCTTGAAAATAAGGTATATTGCAAGTGACACATCCGGCAGGTAGCCATAGCCATTTCGATGTCCTCTGCCTAATTACCGTAGCCATTGTTTTTTTCTGGTTTAATATACCCAATAACGTTGAAATACGAACAAAATGTAGTTTTCATTAATGTAGCATAATTAAAAATATAAATTAGCTGGATACGACAAGTAAAATGAGGGCAGGTCATCATCCTTTTGTCGGCCATTCTCACACTCGGTATTCTCAGCCTAATTACCATAGCCATTTCGGTGTCCTCAGCCTAATTACCGTAGCCATTATTAGTATTCAGAAAATATTATTATTGTTGGTATATATAGAACCGGAAACGGTGATTTTAAATTATTTTTATGTTCAATTGAAAAATTATTATCCGTAATATTTGACGAAAATAAAAAATTCATTTTAGTCGGTGATATAAACGTGGATTATTTGACTGACAACTCGGATAGGCGGCGCCTAGACGAGATATTTATAACTCAAAAAATATTGTCGATTTTCCCTTCTTTGGATTGTGGGATAGTTTAGAGCGTTGACTGTTACGCAACCGTTTCTCCGTTGGACACGGCGATAAGCGACCACAGTGCGCAGCTGTTTGCATTGTCTGTTACGCGACACAAAAATGCAAACAAATTTATACATCGACGTATCTTTGAAGAAGAATCAATTAATTTATTTTATATGGACATTTATAATTATAATTGGGATTTTATTTACAACATTAACATTAATGAAAAATTTAGTTCATTGATAAGAATATTGACATACTATATCGATATACATTTTCCTATAAAAAAATATTACGATTAAAATAGAAAACCATACTCCGTGGGTGAGTAAAGAACTCAATCATTGCATTGCAATTTACAACAATTTCTGCACAATGAAACATCAGTTTCCACACAACACTATATTAGGTAATTGCGTGCAACACTATTCAGATTTAAAAAAATCTATGCGTCTGCGCGACAGTCGTGTATACAATGACAATAAGATAATGCTCACTAAAAACTCAAGTCAAGTAATATGGCAAAACGTAAACAATGAAATTTCGACAACGACTAAATCACAAAATGTACAAATAATGCATAATGGAAACCTTGTACCGACTGTTAAATTCCAAATTGCTTCAATGATTACTTCCTTACAATTAAAGATATAAGAGGATAAGGCCCAGGTTGAGAGCCACAGGCCTATCACAATAGTTCCAAACATATCAAAAATGATAGAATCCATTATATCTACAAGCATTATGGAACATTTAGAAACAAACGACTTATTATCCGACAGACAATTTGCTTATAGGAAAGGTAAGTCCACGTCACGTACAGTTCAAGTCAAAGTGTAGTGGATTCTATCATTACCAGCATTGATGATGGGTATAAAACAGCAGGGATTTTTTGTGACCTCACAAAGGCGTTCGATGTAATTGGGAATGAATTACTAACACAAAAATTAGCTATGTATGGTATCACCGGAGTTGCCCACGATTTATTAAAATCTTTTTTAACAAACAGAAGGCAAACAGTTCAAGTCTGTACGGACGGCAAAAAACCAACTCCGCTGCTGGTGATATCACCATCGGCATCCCTCAAGGCTCGACCTTGGGTAATACGTTGTTCCTGACGTTCATCAACGATCTTGCGCACTATACATATATCGGAGGGCTTGGTGGTTCTGTTTGCGAATGACACTACTGTTATAGTGTGTGCTAAAGGCTTCATAGAATTGGACGAAAAAGTAACATACACGTACAGTCAGCTTTGTGAATGGTTTTCTGCAAATGGGCTTATTCTAAACACGTCTAAGTCAAACTTAATGTTGTTCTCACGATGAAATCCCGTATCATGCCCAATAGTCACCCCTGCGGTTCCACTTTG